ACACAGTCAGCGGTGCTGAATGACGTGGCTAATGATGTCAGACGAGTTGCCCTGCAATGATTGGTTGGCTTGAAGGGATAGATGACATTGTGGGGTGAAATCATTGGCGGGGCATGTGATGTGAAGCACTTTGCTGCCTTGTTGCCCCCTAATAATGGATTTAGTATGATGTGTTCTTACTGCAATGCAACCATGATGCAACATAATGTATAAGATAACATGTGAATAGTGTTGTGGAACATAATTGAAGCATTTTTCCAATACAAGAACATGTCGTTTTGTGATGCCCATCTGTAAGAGATGGGAACAGCTTTTGAGTTTTTATTTTAGAAGATGTAGCTCCACCTTGTGGTTATATACAGTCCATTCAGTCCATACAGCCGTATGATGTACAGTACGGCTACTACTACTAATGTAGTGTAAATGCAGATAACACTCTTAAACACTGTTAGATTTAGACTCGAGCTGTTAATTTCTCTGTTTGGCATACAGAGTAGAGATACATCTTCCAATTTATCCATCATTTCCCTGCTTTTTCCTTTGGATGTATTTTATCTTGTTGAAGGGAAGATTCAGTACAAATTCAGAATACGTCTCTTACCTTTTGTGCTATTTATCAATCAAGATTGTTTTGGTTGCAGGCTGTTAGAGATATATATATATTGGTTGTATAGATGTTTGGCTTCTCTATAATATAGAAACTAGTTGTGGTGCCTGAAAAAGCCATCAAAATGCGATGTCTCTTAACAGAAATCATCAGCTGATTTCTTAATATATTTCACAGACCTTGTTATGAGAAGCTTGATGTAGGAACTTTTTTTCTTCTACCAAACTGCACCCACCAACAGTAATATCTTGCAGAAGGAAGCTTGCATCACTTTAACTCGCTGAAGTTACAGCTCGACAGAGGAGGATGTCAAAAATGTTTTCATCTCCTTATAGCGCAAGATTAAATCAATGATTGATATATTCAACACTCTGCAAACATTAAACTTTATTATATTATTAAACAACAGACTGTAACCTGACTGTTCTGCTTTTCTGCCCTCTTTCTCTTCTCAGATGTACAGCGTTTGGCTTCCTCAACGCCCTCTGTAAATTAGCGGCTATTTTAGGGATAAGCATCTTTACTTCATTCGTTGGTATCACCAAGGCAGTGCCCATCATCTTTGCCTCGGGGGCGCTGGCGGCGGGAAGTTTTCTGGCCCTCAAACTACCGGAGACGCGGGGTCAGGTGCTGCAATAGTGTGGCGCTTCAACTTTCCCAGGGGAGGGCAGATGAGTTTTCACAACACTGTGAATGAACAGCTCAAGAGCCCTCTAAATCCTCCTCTCTAACCCCTCCCTCCAAATGATGGAGTAAAGTTTGTACACATAACACAATGCAAAAGAGCGATGCAGATCTGCTGTAAATATTTAGGACTTGGTTTTATTTGATAGTGAAGATGTGACGAATCAGTAGATTGGTCCAATAAATGTTGAGACAACATTGCTCATAATTGGTGCCAAGGCAAAAGTAATATTAACTTGTTCAGTGAGAGCATGACATTTATTTCCCCTGGATTATTATATTTTATTTAGATATACCCACCCCCCAAATACAAGTACAGTACTCACACCTGGGGTTGGAGGTCAGGGGATGGGGGTTCTTGATAATGAGCCATGAAAATAGACTGACCACTAGCCATTGTTACAGAGTTCTCTGTAGTCACCTCCATTCAACTCACCTGTCAAGTCTTGAGTACTTTGCCATTGTTGGACATCAAAAATGCCTTGATTTAAAGCATTTTTTACTTTGCGGGTTAAAACCAGGACACAGCGCTTGGCTTGCTCTAAAAACTAAAACCTGTCCTCATTTTTTATCTCTAGTAGAGGCTTTTTGTGTTGGTGTATGGACTTACTGCCATTTTATAGATTATAGAACATTCCAGGTTTGTTTTTGTTGTCAGGATGTGACAAAGAGAAAAATCAAGCCCCTTATTTCCCTTTAAGACATTGTTTCTTATCACCTTCAAACAACCATGAGATCAATTAAATCAGTTAATGGATATGTTTTCCATACCAGGTTAAAATGGTGTGCAGTCATGATTTCATCACATATTACGCTGTTTGTCAAAGTGTACATTTAAAGCACAACCATTTCCCAGCGTGAAAGTCCATAACATTTTCTTGACTTGATGAAAACGTTCAGAATCTCACATTCAATCACCACTTTTCAATCACACTGTATATCCCTTTGTAAGAAATGCCTTTTGAGTACCTCTCCTCCCAGGCTTACATTATGTTTGTGTCTTATAATATAGGCCTATGTTTTGAGGGTGTTATGCATGTCACAAAGTATGTATGCACATTTATGAAAATTGAGAGTACATCATGTAAACAGCATTAGGGACAAGTTGATTTTGCTCACTGGTTAGTCCGGTTTAAGTCACAGTAATATTTTTTATTTCTAAAGACAACACTGAGATTTGATTCTGCTGTTGGTAGCAGTAATATGAAGGTTTCTCGGTTACCTTATCAAACTCTTTCCAGAGATCACTAAATAGGAAGTTCTTAAAAATAAAATATTTATTTATTGCGTTAAATCAAACACAAACGTGGGAAAAAATACAGGTGATGTCAAGGGAGAAAAATCACGGCTTAGTTTATGATGGTTTCAGTGCAGGTGTGTGAGAACCGACAGGTGAACTATAATCTAATTGTTTGTGTGAACTGAATGTTTATATAAATGTGAGTGTACTTTTTAGTGCAATATTGAACCTCTGTGCAATATTGAGATTTTATTTAATTTTGTATGTCATTTACCGTTTCATGTATCACAAACACTATTCTGATTTGTAAAGTGTTGTGGGGTAGCTGTCTTATAAAGATAACTGATCATGGTGTGATAACATGCTGGACCTAACCTGTTTTTTAATAAGACAGGCTGAAAGAAAATATTTAAATTGTTGTAAAATACTGCTCCAAAATAAAAAAAAAAGGAAAGGTGACATGCAGCAGAATTGTTGTTTTAAATGTCCCTAATTGGGGAGTTCCTTGGGGCACACAACATGTTAAATAGTGACTATTAACTGCAGGTGAACATTAGTTGTGGGCTACTGAGGGTATGGATTTGGAGTGCACTGGGACCCTGTGTTTACTTGTGCTTTATTATACAGATGTAGCTTGTTATAACATGAGATTCACCGTAGGGAACTCACTGCCAAGGGCTGATTCTCATATATCCCACATTGATAACAGCACAAAGTGTTGGCGACAATTGCCACATTCCCCTGATTTACAAAAAGCACGGATGATATGTTCACAATTGCATGGTATAAGAAAAAACAATCATTAACACATCAGATTAACAACAACAACGTTTTCGTCCAAACTGCCATTTTGTAGGATAGCAGCCATACGTAGACGCAAGACAGTTAAATAAATAGACAACCCATTGCACTAAATGTACATTGTCGTACATGCACAATTGTAAATGCCTCAAGATCTTTAAGAAACAATCTAATGCAGCCTTGCTAGAGATTTAATGAAGAACAAGGTTAGCGTTTAGCAAGAGCACAACGACCAAAACATACCAAATGATAAGATTGTGAACATGAGTGCAGTTGTGAACATGAAGTGCTTCGAGCTTTGACGACATGCCCCTTACATTTCACTCCCTTATTCTCACACTGATCTAACTTCACATTTGAAATCATTATTCATGAGTTTGCCATGAGTATCACCTCTCATTAATTATTGCCAAATATTTTCTATGGCCTGAGTTTACACATTATACCATCTACTCTCTGTTATAGATATAAATATATGTAAATAAAAAATACTTATAATGTAACTAATAAGATTGCTCTTCAAACATTTTGACCCCTGGAAATATTCTGCAGTAAAATATAAAAATATATATATATTACTTGACTTATGGTAGGTGGTCTGCACTGCAAAAATGATGGCTACAGAAGCCAGGATGGCAAAAAAGTCAGAACATTTGCCCAAATTCCCTCCTAAAAGCACATTGATAGTATATAAACGCACATTAACTGTAAATTATAAAAGTCAGAAGTCCTATTCTCTGTATGTTTTCCTGTATCATCCCTACAATTTAACAGCAACAATGTCAAGATAACTGTATTTGTTCAACATTGGATGCTGTTTAAGCGCTAACCTTTCTCAGTGACTCAGTTCAGGCTACGTCCAAGTTAAAAGTGTCTCTCGTAGATACATATCTTAGCTTATGTTACAGGGTTTTTTGTATAATTGCCTGTGCAACAGTCAGTCGTGAGTGCAAAAAGTTAACAAAGCAATAAGTGTTTGGGTATTTGCCTCTTATTCTCTTCTTTGAAGCTATTGGGAATTGGAGAACACTACTATATGCTGGCCTTGTCCACTAAAATGCTGTGTGTTGGCTTAATAATGACACAGGACTTAACAGCTAACCACCTTGTGTACTCTCTAAAACAACCCTAATTATTGAGGCTTTTTTTCAATAAGATTGCAATGCCATTAATTAAATGTAACAAAGAATTTATCACCTTTGTCATTGTACTGTGCTGTAGAATCTGTAGTTGATTGTTTGTAATAGAGACTGTTTGTGAAACCATGAATATACAAAAAAAAGTTATAAAAAAGAAGTGTAAATGAACAATGATGTATGTTGTCTTTGGTTTTGTGTATTTTGTAAATGAGAATGAAATATAAGTAAATACATCAATGTTAAATACCGGTTATGAAACATAGTTAGCCTAAATATGACAACATCAGTTCTGTTTAAAGGTGTGTGAGATTTTTCTTATATTTTATCATTGTTGATTTTTGATTGGGTTTGCACTGTGCTGTGCAACTGACCCTTTGGAATCACAATGGATTACAAAGAACCACGAAATAAACAAAAAGTATAAAAAGTCCATCTTTGTCAAGCCTTTATGTCTGTTTTTTTACGATTATAATAGAGACTACAAAACGTTAAAAGATGCCTTCAGCTGCAACAGGACTACGTAGGCTTAAAAACTACACCACCCAGTGTTCTGGCACTTCCGGTGAGTGTTGCGTCACAGTACCAGAGTAGCAACTGACTTCACTAGCAAGGTGAGTAGTTCACAAAAACACTACACTTTATCTTCAAGACTAGATAAAATGTATGAATAAACACATATATATGGTATATTATCGTGTATGGAGCTTTTCGGTTTGAAAACGCTGACAGTCACATTTTTCTTACGTATTGTTTGTGTGATGTTTATTATGAGAGCTAACGGCTAATGCTAACAAACAAGGATGAATTAAGCTACCTAGCTATCACAACAACTAAAATTGAAAGGCATTAAAAGACGTGGCACCAGTTTTAAAAACATCATTGCAGTTTTGTGTGATGAGATGCGTTCTGTGTGGACAACACAGACTTTCTAGTTATCAAACGCGAGGCTTTTCTATGGATCTGATCTACAGGCTAATGTACTAGCTCAACTTCCAGCTAAATAGAACATGTTCGCGAATGGCAGGTTGTAATTGACTCGCGATTATTTTGGGAGATTTTGCCGTGGGATTGAAATCTCTGGTACACATGGATCCGTCCCGATAATTAATGTAAACTTTAGTAATAGCCACACCTGTATTATATATTGCAATTCAATAAGTGCAAGAGAAGAGTGGCCACCCCACCAACATGTATCACTATTTATTTCTTAACATAAAACACAAAGGCAACAAATCATCTCAATTTGAGAAGATGAAAACTGAAAAATGTTTGCTCTAATTCAATTATCAAAGTAATTGTAGATACCTTTTTTTGTAGCTTGATGTAGCTGTTATTTATTTCAGATTAAATTAAACCAATGCCATTATGATTTATATGCACGGGTTGGAAAACAGGATGACCTCAAATACAACCACACAAACCAAGACAAATACACAAGGTTTAAATGGATGATTTATTTTCTTCTCTGCTGTAATTTCTCAACTATAATGTTTTTAGGATTATATATCTACTGATCAAACTTAGTCTCTCCTGAATCTGTTTACTCTTCTTACATTTCGGGTATCTTTAGTACAAAGCATTCAGTGCAGCACCTCAAAGCTTTTTATTAAATCAAAATGCCTTCCATACAATAAATATATTTCTGGTCATTAAATCGCACATCTTCTGTATTCATACCCATCTTGCTTTTCATAGGTGGTCTCTTGCCACTGCCTCTGATGCTTCCTTCTGTTCTCCGCTGTGTTCGGCCCGTCTCTACCAGTCTTTCCTTAAGCCGGCCTCTGGCCCACTTCAGACCGCACATGGACCCAGACCCGAGCCGGCCCGTTGAGAGGTCTATCAGAACTAAGCTGACCGACCAACTTACACCGGACCACCTGGAGGTCCACAATGAAAGCCACATGCACGCCGTGCCCCCCGGCTCAGAATCACATTTCCGCGTCCTGGTGGTCAGCTCCCAGTTTGAGGGTCTGCCATTGATAAAGCGTCACCGTCTGGTTAATGAGGCTCTGAAGGAAGAGTTGAGTAGCTGCGTTCATGCACTGGCTATCCAGGCAAAGACTCCTGAGCAGTGGGGGAGTAATCCCTCTTTGGCCAAAAGTCCACCTTGCCTGGGAGGCTCGAGGGGAGATCACACGGTGGAGGAGAAACTGAAGGCCGGGCGGGAGTGAGAGTCGGACTCATGAAGCTGTTGGACTGAACTGTGAAGAAGGCTGGTGAATGCTGCACTCGAGGCAAAGAGAACTGTCATCAATGGAATGACAGTCAGTATTCTCTTACAGATTTCAATACATACATTTGTTTCTATGGTTATTCTATCACAATAAAATATGAATCATAAACATCCAATCCGGTGTATCTGTTTACAGAGGTTAAATCCGTGGATAGCAAAAAGATATGCAGGTCGCAGTGGCACTGGATTTAGGAAAATGGTTGTGCTAAAGTTTCCAAAATCCTGTTTTAGTAAATGTGGATAGTGAGTTATTAGATTAGGTTCTAATTTCTTAATGCCTCGTGAAATTGACATGTGATGCATGTGCTTTGGAGTTTAATGTCAGTACCGCATGCTTAACACACGAGGGCAGTCTGTGCTCACGTTATGTGACGAACTGGATTGGGCGAGTTGGCCGATTAAAGAGATGTCTTCATTATTCACCTGCAAATGTTTCAGTCAGTTTTTCATTTTTATATCTGGATTGTACATGTAGTCTATAAATAAATACAAAAATAACACAATTGAGTGATACAATAAGTTACCCTTAGGACTAACGTGTGAGAAATTCAGCTTCCAAATATATTTTATAAAGCTAAATAAATCGATATTTAAAATCAAAGGTTTTAGTTCACTGCATGGAGGACACCATAATTAACAATTGTCTCTGTAATCAATTGGTTCAAATGTTTTGATATTATTATCTAGAACATTCTAAATCAATGCTCAAATATATTAATTGGTTTAATATTGTTCAGCGTTTCATAACATTTCAAACCAAGCCAGAAGGTGTGTGTGTGTGTGTGTGTGTGTGTGTGTGTGTGTGTGTG